AAATTAACCTAACGGGTCATCACAAGCACTAAAATAAGACAGAATGGAAAGTACTAGTCTTTTATATGTAGCAAAATTCAGTATTATTTCTTGATGAATTGTATTCAATTATATATTTATACGTACTAACTTGTGATATAAAATGCACGTCTTGCTGTTGTCATGGTGGTTTTCTGGTGTAAAGCAGTTCCTTAGGGCACATAACCCTGAGACCTCAATGCGCCTGGAATCCATGCAGCGGAGAGGACTCGAGGTTTCTTCTTCAGGAAGAGAATCTCAGGCTCACCCTCACGGGGCCCATCTTTGTTGTAAGGCCACTGACTTTCTACAGGGTGGCCACTGAGACTGGTATCTGAGGGGAACACACAATCAGTGGATAATTCCTATTTGTCGAGTAAGGCAATCTGCAGTAGACCCTGCGCATCCCTGCACGTCTCTGCTGAGTATGCCAAATGGCAAGGCGCCACCATCCTCCAGCCCTGAGCCATTCCTGCAACCAGCCAAGGAGATGATTCTGAGAAGATCAGGATCCCACAGGGTGACTACTGTACAATGACTTGCTTCCTGGGAAGGGGCTGGCTTGTTCAGTACTTGCTGTAAAGGCTGCCAAGTACCCTGCCCTGAGCTCCTGGGCCGTTGCACCATCCACTGTGTGCACAGCCACCATCTGGGCCCGCCAGGTCAAACTGCAGCATTCAGGTAGAGGGCAACTTGTACCGTGCTGCGTTCCCGCTTCTTGCTGGCCTGTGAGTAAAAAACTCCGTGCTCTGATGCACTGAATTTCACTGTGTTACTTTCAGTACAGAGAGCTGTGGCAAACCCATTCAAATTCCTGGCTTGCTTAGCCATCAACTTTGGAATCTTGTTACTCCTGGCCATTTTCTATGAATGGTGTCAGGATTCAAACTCACAAGTGTCTGATTCCAGTATCTGCGTTCTTTTCGGGACACCTCATTGTTACATTATCAAGGAAAGTATTATTTCCTCTGTGCCTCAGCAGCCGTCAAGATAAAAACCACAGAGTGTAAGCCAGACTACTTCCCTCTTCCGGGCTAAGTTAGGCTTGCAGTTTCTCTTGGCATAACATGTGCTCCTGCTGCCACCTACCGGCAGCCTCACACATCCTGCTATTTCTTCGCAAACTCGTTTGCGAAGGAGAAGCCATCTGGCTCTTTAAAAACCTTCCAAACAAACAAACAAACAAACAACAAACTCAATGCAGACAGCCAGCTGGTAAACCTTCCCCAAAAGTTGGTAGAGCTATAAGGGAAAAGTAATTCCCATATACCTCCCCTAGGGACAAATCTTTTCTCCTTCCAAGCTGCTCTCAATTTCATCAGATTTCACCTGCCTCCACGTATTGAAAGAGAGGACAGATTCGGTTATCCACACCATCTAAATTTGAATGGTGGTCTCCTGCAAAATTGGGGAATTCCCTGGCCCTAGCACTTAACACTGACCACCGCATCGCTAACAAAGCAGTGGGTAACAGTGCCTTGACCAAGAAGAGTCTAGGTGGCTGGCAAAGGTTGGCTTGTTTTCCTCAGAGAGGGCGGGGCCCAGGGCAATCAGGCACATCTTGAACCTTAACTCTGGGCAGCTAGGAGCACTGGGGGAATCCATTCCCTTTTCCAAGGACATCCATCCATAACACTTCTTCTCCCTGCCTCCCAGCACCCACCCTACAGGATATCACGACTTATCATCTAGGTGGGTGGTTGGATTTTTGCTTTTCTTTGTTTCCCTTTCCTTGACAAAATGGGGAACAACACTTCCCGGGGGTGGGGGAGTTTATTTCTGACTATTGGGAAGAAAGAAAGGAGGAATTGTTGTCACGACAATTAGGAGCTCATCAGAGCTTCATTTTGCTCATCAGCCATCACTGCCCTCCATCCTGCACCCCCGCATGTTCCTCTAGTTCAATGCCCGCCTAATGAATAACTCCTAGGAACAAAAGAGCCTTTCAGGCTGGCGCACGTAATTATTAGAGGAGCCTTGCATAACTGTCACAGACTACTCATGTTTTCAGGCCTATCTCTAAATTTGGTTATTCACAACCTTTATAGCTCAATATTATTGCCTAACTGTGATCATTTTCTAATTATCCTAATAATACCTATTAAATAATTCCCATTAAATCACTTGAACCAGAGCGGTACAAGCCAGCTCAAATACAACTTAACCTAATAAGCATTGGTCATTCATTAAGCACCAAGGCAATCTTTTAAAGGGGCTGAATAGAATATTAAACTGCAAAGGAATATTGTTATTGCACAAATGTTATTACAAGTTGGAGTGTATTAATTTCGACGCCTGGTTTGCACATCTTCCATTTGGTTTCCTTTGGGGCCGTTCCCCTTGACTCGACTCTTCCAGGCTCCAGCCCCACGTTGATCTGCATCTGTCACCCACACAAGGACAATCAAGGGAGGGAAAGGCCCATGAAGGGAAGAGGGGAATTAAATTACTAAGGATGTAAAGGGAATGAAGGGAATCCATCTTCTGGCTGGGTTGACACACCTTTGAAAACAGAAGCAGGCTTTCTTCAGCTGATAATTCAAAATAGCCTTTCTGTACACTTGGGGGAGAGGGAGAATTTCAGAAGCTTGAGAAATGTGGTGCCTAGAATTTAAATTTCAAGCGGCAAAGATGAGGCAAGTCAATTCTTTCACAGGGCATGTGTGTGGATATTTAAGAGTACTTTGTACAAATGATATCAGGTGGCTTTTGTTGAATGCCTGCAACGTGGTAGGCACTCTTGGGAGGCACTCTGCCCACCAATGCCCTTAATTCTCAAAATGCCCTGGTAATGGTAAGGATTATTAGCTCCATTTCTCACATAAAGAATCTGCAGCCCGAAAGGTTAAGCGATTCTCCCAGGGTCACGCAGCCTAAATGCAACGGAGCAGAATTTGCACACGGGGCTCTTGGATGCCTTTCCCCACCAGGCCACCCTGCCTCCCCAGCAAACTGAAATGTGCCCCAGCTTTGCTGGCTTATCCTTTCCATTTCTAAGGCTCTCGCTGAAACCTGTGGATTCCCAAAGACCAGTGCAGAGCCTTCTTGATGGGGAATCTGGCCGTATGGCCAACAAGAAGCAGTTCATTGTACTGAACGTCCCAGCAACAGCTGTAGAGACCGGCAGGGACTCTCACTCCAGGCAAGAAACAGTTACTATTTTTGTCATGAAGTCTACTCCTGATAGGTGGATTTGGTTTATCTTTGCAAGGAAATGCACAGTGTATTTTAGTAAGGAAAGGAACAGAGGCACCTGGGTGACTCAGTCAGTTAAGCGTCTGCCTTCCGCTCAGGTCATGATCTCAGGGTCCTGGAATCGAGCCCCATGTTGGGCTCCCTGCTCAGCGGGGAGTCTGCTTCTCCCTCTGTTCCTCCCTCGCTCGCGTTCTCTCTCTCTCAAATAAATAAATAAAAATCTTAAAAAAAAAAACCTTACTAATTGTCTATCCCATGGCAGATGCTGTGCTAGGACTTCCACATAAATCGTTTTAGCCAATCCTCACCACAAATCCAAAGTATGATGATCACTCCCACTTAACAAACCAGAACCGAGGCTCAGAGGGAGAAAGTCAGACCCCAGCATTTCCCTGAACCACGCTGCTACTGAGGCTCACACTGCGGGGACCCTCACTTGGTTGTGACTTCGCAAGGCTCTGGGAGCAATTCTCCCAATTTCACCCACGTGACTCTGTACAAACTTCAGGCCTCACGAAGTCCAGGTCCACCCCTGCTGCTAGCATCCCTCTCAAATAACTGAACTTTTAAGAGGATTAAAATCCCAACCTTCCGCTATGTTGTTGAACAAGTACCATGTTGCTTAAGCGATTGCACACAGAGATATGTTTTCAGGGTCTGGTTTTTCACACGCGGTATCCAAAATGCAGAAGGCTAAAGACATCACATCCGAAAACTAAAGAGACAATACCACCACCCCCCACCCACTAATTCTAAGGGCCCCTCCAATTCACTAGCCATAAACTAGTGCTGGGCTGGCTTCCAAAAATGTAGGTTTCTTTAAGCCATCGCTCACCTTGGAATCCTTTGCTGACTCCTTGTTCACTGAGGCATTTCACGTCTTTTCACATTGGGCCTTTGCAGGTGCCATTCCCTCTTCCAGAACAATCTCCTCACCTCCTAGGTGAATAGGTGAATTCCTATCCTTCCTGTGGTTTCCATCGTCATGGATCACCGCTTCCAGGTGCTTAGCCTGAGTGCTCTTCTCCCCAAGGTCAGTGAGGAAGCTTGTGATGGTGTGTTCCACACGCCCCCGTCCCCGAATGCTTGTTCCTATCACTCTACCTGTCCTTCTGTAGGGCGGTCTATTTATTTACGTGTCTGCATCCTTTAATGGACCGTGAACCTCTCAAAGGCAGACACTGGGCCACGCTCATCGTTATAGACCCACTGTCTTCATGTCCCCCACATGGTAGGTCTTCACCAGAGGAATTCTGTTTGGATCTAAGAGTCGGAAGCTATTGGTGGAACACTTACCATTTCTTGTACCAGGCAATACACTAATTTATTTTCTTTATATATATTTTATTTCTAATTTCTTCTCTAATCCTTGTATCAGTTTTAAAGGAAACCATAAATATCCCCATTTTAGAGGAGAAAACGAAAGGTCATAAAAGTTTAGAATGTGACCGGCCCAAGGGACACGGCTAGAAAAGGAAGAAATGAGGACTTTGAGTCCAAGTCCGGGCTTGGACTCACTACTAACGTTGTCTGAATGGTTCTCCTGAATTTCTCATTGGATTGCCAAGAACATTCATACTTGCAGAAGTGAGACTGGGCAGGCCAGAAAGCCAGGTACAAGGCCCACAGGCTGACCAGGGCCCTAGGAATTTCAAATTGGACCATCAGTTTGATTTTGGAAACCTGCGTTAACAGTTCCATGGGGTGACAGCATGGCCGGACCAGCACTATTCTCAGACCGTGGACGTGGGCCCACACCCACCTCTCCCATCTGCCAGGCTTCCTACCTGCTTCTCCCCTCAGCGCCTTCTCCAGCCTCACGCCTCGGATCTCTGAAGCCCTCTGGCGCTCCTCCACCTCCTCCAGCTGCCTCTGGATGGCCTGCAATGCCAGGATGGTGTGTCACGCGGGGACTCTTGAGGGGCAGAGTCACATGAGGGGGCTGATTCTGCTACTTACTTTTTAAGAAGAAGAGGCCCTGTCCCTTATGATGTCCCTCCTTGGGTAAGAACCTCTGAATTCCCAAACAACTAGATCTTGATGTCTCCCTTCTTTAGTGTGAAAACATAAAGCAAGCAGTCTGTCTATGAGCTCAGCCTGCCCCCACATAGACATGAGGACAGTCATCTTTGACCAGGCCAACCACACAGATGTGCCCTCAGGCAGAGGATGCTGGGCTAGGTGGGTGGTTCTCATGGCTCCCAGACTCTCCTGAGCCTTGGCCTCTGACTATGGTCATGGCATACACAGAGCAGCAGCCTCTACTCAGAGTAGGATGAGGTTCTGGGGGCAAACACAGAGCACGGTCACATTCCATTTTCCCAAGAAGAGCCAGGAGATACTTCCCGAGAAGTTGGTCTGGAGCAGGAGACCCCGGGCCAACTCCCAGGGCCGGGTGTGCCTTGCTCGGCATGTCTAGCTCCCGTCCTGAGCTGTAGATTGCACCTCTTCTTTCCCTATACCACAGGGTGAACACCCAGGGGCCTCTTAATATGCAAGTGTGCAGTGGCTGTGAGTAGCAGATTATGAAGACAAGACCCTGTGAGGGACAACCTCACACCCTCCCTAGACTCAGCATCAGCACCTATTCACATTTGGGTTTGCATTTACGCTCTTAGTTTCCCTACTGGCTATTTCTCTCCTGTCTGCATAAGGAAGGAAAATGAGGGGAAAGCCTCTCCCTGTATACATTCTGTTCCCCAGCAGTTTCCTCTGCTTTCAAACAGCATGCTGCCAGAAGGCACATCTCTTGGCAGAACAGACATCGCACCTGGCTGAACAGGGACATGAAAGGACCCGGCAGCTGTCTGGGCAGGTAGAATGTGTGTGTTCTTCCTCCTTTACCTCACTGCAGCTCTGTCTCACCCCCTCTCCTCCTTAACTCCACATCTTCTCGGTCTCCCCTGGATTCAGAGTACAATCACTGAAGTACCTCCAACCCTGTGAAGAGACGCGAGCTGGGGTCGGGCCTGAGCAGCCACCTGGCTCTCCTCAACCCAGCTAAACATAAAACCCGTCCCGGGGTTTAACACACAATCTGAAATAGATGGGAATTCTATGTAACGCCACCATAATTTCATGCCCTCTCTCTCTTTTAAAGACAATTCTATTTTTATAAATCCATCTCTTGATGGCAGGACATCGAATCACTCATGGAAGGGAAACATTTGAATGACTTTATGACTGACTGTCATGCATTTATGGCCATATGGTTGTTACAGACTGAATCGTTCCCCCCCACCACCCCAAATTCAGATAGTGAAGCCCTAACTCCAATGTGACTATATTTGGAGATAGGGCCTTTAAGGAAGTAATTAAGGTTAAATGAGATCATAAGGGTGGGCCCCCAATGCTGTGGGACTGGTGACCTGATGGGAAGAGACATCACTCTCTCTCCGCCTGGGCACAGAAAGAAGGCAATGTCTACAGGCCAGGAAGAGAGGCTTCACCAGACACCAGTCCTGAAGGCACTTTGATCTTGGGTTTCCAGCCTCCAGAACTAGGAGAAATACATTCCTGCTGTTTAAGCCACCTATTCTGTGCTATGTTGTTGTAGCAGCCGAGCAGACTAACACAGTGGTCAGTCTTCGGAAACCAAGGATGAAACTCTTGAAGACTAGAAGGGGCTAGCAGATGAGGCTTCCAAAGGCTATCATGGTCCTTATCACCATCTGCTGTCTGGAGGGAGCACGTAAGGAGGGGGGCTGCCAGTCTGCCAATCCGTATCCTAAAGGCTTATCTCGTTCTCACAAGGCCAAGTTACAATGTTTCAAGGAAACCTGTTTCAGAAGTTGAGAGGGGACAGAGGCACTTTGTGGGGATTTTCCCTGTCCGCTAGGTGAAAGGGGTGACTCCCTTGTCAGTCACTGTGAAGGGTAAAGGAGTTTGGGTTAAGCGGCTTCCTTCCTCAACAAGACTACATGGCCAGACAAAGCGGGTAACTGCAGAAAGGAGTAGAAGGGAACATTGCATGAATACAAGTGGTCACTCTAAGTCCTTCTGTCCTAAAACTTCGATACTCTTCTAGGCTAAGTCTGGGGTCCTCAGGGACGTGGAAAATGCCTTGACTTTCTGCTTCCTTTGCCTGTCTGTGACAGATGTGGGCAGACCCACTCGGGCAGAAATGTTAGAGCTAACAATCAAGACAGGGAATCTATATTGAAATACTAGATTTTTATGTTTTTGACGAACCTTGGAATACAGACAGCTGCCGATAGTTGTCAGTTCAGCAGGGACACTGGGAGGAAGTTAGGGGAAAGTTGTATCCTCACAGAGGACAAGACTAAGTCCACTGCTATGTGGCAGTCAGGGTTTGGGATGGTTCCCATGGCCATGTGTTGGCCGTCATTCCAGGCTCACTTTGCAGGATACACGTTTGCAGAGGGAAAGGCAGTTGGGGGTGGGCCAGCTCAACACCTGGGCTCCTCAGGGCCCTGAGTCCCACCAGGGATTGAGTCAGGGCTTTAGAATGGCCACAGATCTGGTCACTCAGAGAAGAGAGACTAACCTTTCCCCGAGCCCGCCTCCCCCAGGACAATAGAGACTTCCAAAGGGTTTTCCAATCCAATTCCCAGGTCCCAGGCCCCAGGTTCACTCATTCAAGTCAAGTTTGTTTTCTGACCTGAGCTTTATGAAGTCTTTTCAATTCTTCTTGCTTAACCAACTGTTTTGTTGCTTTCTCCAGCTTCCTTCTTCTTCTGAGTGTCTTCCTCTCCTACAAAAACCAAAAGAGAAGAAAAAATGTATCTGAGAGAAATGGGGTTGAAATCTGCAAAATAATGACAAAGGCTTCTAGTTGCTCCAACCAAACCATTGCTTAGCTTCTAGAACAATGACGTCCAATAGAACTTCCAGAGATGATGGAAATGTTCTATATCTGTGCTAAAATATGCAAGCCACTAGCCACCTGTGGCTATTGGACATTTGAAATGAGCTAGCATGAATAAGAAACTGAATTTCCTGGGCTTGTAAAATCCAGAACACTCAAAATCAATGCACTGAAATCTTGATGGTGTCACTTCCAGGTCTGAAACACCAGAGAAAGGAGCAGTTACGGTGTGGCCAGATTCCCATATTGGAAAGCAGAGGAGACACTTCTGGTTGCAGAGAGAGCAGGGAATCCTGGTGGAGCACTGGGCCCGGGCGCCTAGCAAAGTTGGCATCAAATTCCAGCTGAGCTGTGTGGGTTTCAGCCTGCCACACAACTTTCTGAACTTCAGAGCGATGAAAATGATTGAGGGCCTACCTTGTAGGGATGTTATAAGAATTAATTGAGAGAATGTGGGTCATGCCCTTCCTAGAATACTTGAAAAAGATATGGGATAAATACATAAATACCATGATTTTTATTATTAGTGGCATAATTATTAGATCATATTATTAGATTATCATATCAAATTAGCATGATTATAATTTACTTAAATCAATTATTTTTCCTATGTTTACAGAGTAAATGTTCAAATTGAGCTAGTTTTACTATGAGTTTGTCTTCTTGGAGCATACTCATCCACTTTCTACATATTAGGTTAAAGATTAGAGCATGCTAGAGATTTCTTTCTAATGCTGGCAGAAACAAATATGGAATTAAAAATTTGTTACAGCTAGCCTGGTGCCTGGGCATTCAGTATCTGTGGTTGAACTGGATGTTTGCCCATTAAAGGGAGTATAAATCCACAAGGGAAGAATGGACCTAATAGGCGTACCCCAGATACTGCCAGAGGAATCCAGGTCCATGACGGAGGTCAGAGATTATGCCTGAAAAGCGCCTACATTTGCATGGCCTCGTGGATTCTGGTCATTCAGTCACCCATTCCATGGATACGTATGGGGAGACCATCATGCTCCTCAGCAAAGCAGCCAGCTTTGAGGCCTCAGAGTGTCTACAGATTGTCAGTGAAAACATTTATCTTGATGAAATTTCATTTTTCTAGAATTCTCCTTAGGATCTAGAATCATAAAGATCTTTTTCATCCTTGGAAGGAAATTCTAGCTCTCAGAACTGAAACTTATTCCATATCATATCATCTCTATTTCTAGGAGATAACTTTCAGATTGACTGTCAACCACTCTGAACAGAGGGCCTGGGCCATTTGGGGTGGGGGTGGAACCCCACCATTAGGCAGTCTGAATCTTTCTGGAAATGTTAGGGCAGAGGGGCATGGTGGAGATCACTCGTAGTTGTTGCCCAGAGACTGTCTAACTCAATCTATACACAGACTCACAAATATCTCTTGAGCTTCCATTATATTAATTTATATAATAAATCCCAGCACATCCTGAGTGCTATGTGGCAGATATTACACTGATTACTTCACATGTATCAGCTCATTTATTCCTCAAATTACACTTACATTATGGATACAAGGCAATCAAATCTTGGACCAAAATAACTTGCCCAAGATGGCCCAATTAGTCATTGGTAGAGCCAGGAGTTAAGCTCAGGTAGCCTGAATCCAGCATCCACATTTTCAGCTGGTCTACACGGCCTTTCCTATGCCACATACTGCACAGGCACATCAAGGACCCTTGCCTTATAGAAATGTCAAGGTTTCCTCTTAAATTAAGGCCATTTAATATAATTTCAAGGGGAGGGGTGTGCCTTGACAGCATCACAGCATCTTAATACTTCTAAGCAGCAGAGCTGCCAAACCCTTCCTGTTTTATCAAGAGTCAGCAAACCAGAACCTGGAGGAGGAATAAAAGTCCCTATTGCCTTTTATTAGAAGATGTTGATACAGAAAAGAAGGGTAATTTGTTCACAAATGCTCATCCAGTCTTATGATGAGCCAGGCACGGTCCTTATAGGCTCAATAGTGGCAATGCCAGCACAGAGAGGCAAGGACAGAGGCTCAGGGCGAGGAAGGAAAAGACGAAGGACAGAGAAAGGGAGAGGTCTGGCAGGACCCTGGACGAGTGCCTGCCCCAGTCTCCCAGGTCCAGGCCTGGCTTTGGGAAGGGAGGGGTGGGGAGGGCCGAAGTCAAGGGGAGGGGTGGAGTGTTCACATCCTGTCTCGGGTTTCCTGCGCAAAGGTTCATTTGAGCTGACGTGGGCTCTGTGCCAAAGGGCTGGGGACACACCTGTATGGGACAGAAGAGATAAGGAAACCAGAGGGGGGGGAAAAACCCTTGTTCCTTCAGGGTGGGCCCTTGGGAAGTAGTAAAGAAAGAACTTTTGGCCAGCTTCCCTTCCTGTAAGAGTGGTCAGAGGCCAGGTGAAGCAGGCAAGCTTTTCCACACTGCAAGCTTAAGTGCTGACAGGCTCTGTTCTGGGCCAGCAGGAGGACAAGGAGCTACTTGCAAGGCTTGCCCTAGATCTCATGGTCTTGCTATTTGATGTGTTTGGGCCATTCCTTCTCTTATTCTCCGTGAGTGTTGGAATGGCTGTTAGAACGGCTGATGAATGTCTGTATTCATTTGAATACAGACTTAAGTCAAGGTCACTTAAGGGGATGAGAGGGACAGGAACAAAACCCGAGGAATCAACATAACACACCAAATTCATTTGTGTTGAGTACTGAACTAATCAGAGGTGCCCACAGTTAGAAATGAGAAACGCATACATATTCTCTTTCATTTGCATTCCCTCCCTGTCTCTCCCTTCCCCCACCACACACACACACACACACACACACACACACACACTCTCTCTCTCTCTCTCTCTCTCTCTCTCTCTCATGCTATGTCCCAGCCCCCTCCTGACTTGCTCTAAGCTGGGCCGTGGGGAGGTAGAACCCCCGAGTGACTTGAGATGACACCAAATTTCCTAATGCCAGCTATGGAAAAGTTGAGTCTAAGTAAATAAATTTGGTTCTCTCCCTTTCTCCTCAGGTCCTCACTGCTCCAAAAAATAAACACTGTTAGCACAGTGAACTGCTTGTCTGTTCTCCTGGGAAGCATTTTAGGTCCAACCATTCATCCCTCAGTCCCAGTGAAAATGCTCCAGCCCCAGTGGATCGAGAAAACAACAGTGAGGTTTGGTCGTGGGATGTGTCTTCATGTATGTGACACATAGACGCATTTAAAGATGTACACCAATGTTTGCATTTTTAAAATCTATGGGTATGGGAGTTGTTTGAAGTGTTTTCCAGAAATACGTTCATGAAGCAAAGAGAACTGCCATCTCCCTAACCAGCAGGCCGCTAGCCCTTCCACAGCAGGGACTCTTGGAGTATCCATGTCTAGATGCAACTGCATGGTTCATTTCATATTTCTGATTAGAATAAACATAACATTTTCCATGCAATCTGCCTCTAGTGCTTCTTAAATGAAGCTGTGTTTCCCCCAGGGAAATATGCATCTGCTTATTGTAATTTTTTCGATGGCTTGCTTGTTGGACCACATATTAAACCCACTTTAAGAGCTACAGTCACCAAATGATTTTAAGTAAATATGTCTGTTTTTTTTTTTTTTTTTCTGCCAGTTGGAGTCTCTGAGAAAGGCAAGCTTCTAAAAGTTAAAAAAAAAAAAACAGATCATTCTTGGGGTGTTCCAGGTAAAAAAAGCGATTGCTGTCAGATGCAATGAAACACGCTCCTCCTAACGAAAAGCCACTGCCACTGGAGTCCACATCGGGTCTGAAACCTGCATAGTAAGTGGCCCCCGCGAGCAAGGCCCTCTTTGGTTGGCCCAGTGTTGTTACCTTTGATCGTAAGGAAGGCTGGGGATGAAAATCTTCATCTGCAGAGGAGGGGCTGGTGGAGGAGGTAGAAGAGGCGGCCCCTGGCACCTGCACTCGGATAGGGATGTGTTTGGGACCTGAAATGGGAACAGAAGAACTCACTGAAATCCCAGCTTCTTCTCCTGCCTCACCATCCAAAGCTGCCTCTCCCTCCACCCTTCTTACCGCATTCCCTTCCTCCCTGCCCTTCCCTCGCTGCACCTGCCATGAGCAGGAGGAGACAGAACCTAAGGGCAACTGAAAATTTGGCCCTCCACGTTAATTACGTTTCTGGGTCCCTGCCAAGGGCTTTGCAGCTCTCCTTTCATATTAAAAAAAAAAAGGCATTATGCAGAAATCAATTAATTCCTTAAATACCATTTATATGGTGTGTTGCCTAGAACGCATTCAGAGATGAAATCTATTATTAAAATGCTTGTCTGAAGTTAGCTGAGTTACCTAAACGCTCGTGTAAGGTTCGTTCTGCAGAGTAATTGAATGCAAGAAAGTCAGAGCCAGCTCTTAAACAAATCGCCCTTCTGTGGCTCACAGCATCTGGCACCCATTTTTACTACATGACATCTGCTCAGTATAAAAGAGCTGGCGTCAGAATGTCTGGTCATAGAAAAAAAAAATCCCAAATGTAATCAGAAGCAAAAGGACTCTAAGCCTAAGGTTTTATCACATAGTCTCATGCAACATAAATATTTCATTAATTATGGCTAAACAAATGCCACTTTTATTTTCCCAACTTGCAGATATTATCACATCATCGAAGTGATGATTCAAATGCCAGGAAAGGCAGTTGAAGATAGGGAGGGCTCAACAATGCAGGGCCCAGGGGAGAGCCGAAGTCCAGGAGATCTGCCAACCTCCGAACAAGAGGTAGATGGTTAGAGGCGGCCGAGGGCCCGTGTTCACTAGAATCTCTTTGTGATCTAGCTGGGGACCGTGTGTGGTAAAGTCCTCCAGGTGCCACAGGAGGCTTTTATTCTTCTCAGCAAGAACATCTGCCCCTGCACATCATCCTGATGCAGAGTTAAGGAATAATGTCTGGATGAACCCACGCTGGATGCTGACTATCACAACCCGTGAGGACTCCATGAGAGGAAATGTACGAATCATTGCTCTGCCGTGGCAGCCTATATCCAAAGAGAAATATGTATGGGGTGGGGAGGGGGACGGAGAAGCAATTCCATGTGACTCACATTCCCTCCAGCCTGCCTTTTCCTCCCCGTAATTTCCAACGATTTAACCCAGTGGGAGAGGCCAAGTTTTAGAAAATAAGGGTAATTTCAACCTCCGGGAGCACATTTACATATGCTGTTATTCAAAGCAAAATAATGCAGAACATCTATATAATAGCACAGCCTCCCTGGGGAAGGAGTTAACTGTTTGCCACTACAATTTGCCAGGTGGGGAAGCTCAGGTGAAGAGAGCATCAGAGGGCAGCATAGTAATGGAAGGAGGCACCATTGGTGGTGAGCTCAGATTGTCCTCCAACTCTGGCTACTAGGTTACTATGGAGGAATGTAGTCATGGAGTATTCACTTCCTAGTGTGTGAGCCTGAGGAACTAACTTCACCTCCCTGAGTTTCTGGAGCTCACAACTTCTAACTTGCAGCACTGTAGTAGAAGAGCAAAGGTAATCGCTGGAAAGAGCCTGACACGGTGCCTGGTTCATTGGAGATGCCTAAATAAATCTCGTTGTCATCAGCAGCAGCAGCAACTGCCTCATCGTTAACATTGATCCAAATCAACAATACAGCAATATTAACAACACTGCCTAATTAACCTTCATTGTACAGAAGTAGAATAACCTAAAGTAGAAACTTCCAAAAATGAATATAATAGTTCCACTGCATCTTATTTTGAAATTGAGAAGAAAATATTTCCGAATATAATGCATTTCTTAAACTTCTGGCAAACGTTATATATAGTTACCTCCGAATCTCTTCCCCTTTACTCTCTTCCACCACAGAACCACCGATTCCAGAAATTTACTTTTCAATTGCAAAGTTAAAAAAACCTTGGCAGCATTGTTCCACCCTGGCTATAATGGAGTGACTGATTCTGGGATTGATATCCCACCACAAAGCACTAGAAATCAGGACAAAATCTATGAAGCAGCTGTTTCCAGACATTGGACAACAGGCAGTGCAGAACTGTGATAAATGTAAGAACAGAAGCAAATGAAGCCCTACAATCACACTAGCTTCCTCCCTAGAGGCACTTTCCAGGCCACAGTGCAGGTAGGAAGAACCTAAACAATATAGCAGGTTCGTTGAGTTGAAAAGACAGGAATCGAGTTTGAGTGAGTGGAGGCAGCTGGAATGTGTCAGGGTGGGGGGTAGAGGAGAGAGCTATGCAGAAAAAGCACATCAGGAATAAGCACAGAAGTCCCCCTGAGTCTATTGCTTAATAGTAAACTTTAGATTCATAGAGAGAAATTGCATGAGGTTGGGCCAGTGACTGTTGGAAAATTATAGGGTAAATAGCCTCTAAAGCTTTTTACAGTATTGGGAAATACTCACGTTCCACCCAGCTAGGGTAGAACAAACTTTGGGGGCATTAGAATAGAGGCCACAGAAAAGTCATACTTTAGTAATAGGGATAAATTAGCCATAGGGTAAAGGTTATTATAAACTGCCCCAAATAAGCTTAAAAACAAACTTGAAAGAAACAAATTGATCTTCAAATTACACTACTGTCTGCCAAACATTTTTACTGTTTATATAACATTCTTTAAATGAAGAAACAAAGTCTAGACACCCTACAACATAATCGTCACCAAACCTAGCAGCCAGAAAGCAATTACTAGATTGCAAAAGAGCAGGACAACGAGCTCATCATCAAGAGAAAAATCAGTTAATAAAAGCAGGCTCAAAGATAATGGGATTAGCAGACAAGGGTTTAAAAATAACTATTATAAATGTGCTCAGGAATTTAAAAAGACAGCATGAACAGAATGAGGAGGTAAAAAATATAGAAAAAGAACCAAATGGAACCTATAAATATGGAAAATACAAAATCTGAAATGAAAATTTCACTGGATCAGCTTAATAGTAGATTAAACATTGCAGAGGAAAATAGCCTGTGTAATTAAGTAACAACAATAGAGATTATCCAAAATGAAACACGGAGGGAAAAAAAGACTGAAAAACTGAATAGAACTTCAGTGATCTGTGACATAATATGAGGTGGTCTAAAATATGTATGATTGGCATGCTGGAAGGAGATGGCGGGAGATAGAAAAAGTCATTTATGTAATATTGTTGAAAATCACACAAATTTAATGAAAATTGTAAATTCCAAGAAGTTCAATAAACCAGAAGCAGGGTAAACATAAAGAAAATCATAGCAAGGCTCACGATAATAAATTTACTGAAAACCAGAGATAGAGATAAAAATCTTAAAAGCAGATGAAGAAAAATGATATATTACATACAGAGAAACAAAGATAAGAATGTCCATGGACAACTCATCAGAACTTAAATAAGCTAAGAGATAATGAAACATCATTAAAATGCTGAAAGAAAAGGCTGTGAATTTATAATTCTATATCCAGTGAAATGATCCATTCAAAATGAAGAAAAAATAAAGGCTTTAGGATAATTTGTTGTTAGCAGACATACATAAGAGAAATGTCAAAAGAAGTTCTGTAGCAGAAGGAATATAACACATGGAGTGAAGAGCTCCAGAAATAGTAAATATAAAATAATTTCCCTTTTGGTTTTTAACTTCTTTAAAAGATAATCAACTATTTAATGCAGCATAGTGTGAAATAATAAGAAATATATAATTTGGTCTCTGTCCCCCATTCCCACCAATATTTGGTCTTTGACTCCAATTCCTGACACAGAGCTCCTGAAACGCTTGTCATTCTGAGTGAAGAGTTCCCAAGTCCCTTGAAACTTCCCATGATAGGAGCACCTTTTGTTCTAATGAAGTGACTCTTGGTGAGTTCCTGGAAGATGGCTGGTCATTAGAGAGACCAAGCTGTGACTAGAAAATCTCAAAATCATTAGAAATTAAGCAATACTTTTCTGAGAACCAATGGATAAAGGACAAAATAAAAGTAAATTGAAGCTGATGGGATAAAAATATGGCATAACAGGGGCACCTGGGTGGCTCAGTCATTAAGCGTCTGCCTTGGGCTCAGGTCATGATCCCAGGGTCCTGGGATCGAGCCCCACATTGGGCCCCCTGCTATGCGGGAAGCCTGCTTCTCCCTCTCCCAGTCCCCCTGCTTGTGTTCCCTCTCTCACTGTCTCTCTCTCTCTCTCTCTCTGTCAAATAAAGAAATAAAATCTTTTTTTAAAAAAAAGAATATGGCATAACAACATAACTAGGATGGAGCTAAAGTAGTGATTTGAGGGAAATTTAGAGCTTTCAGTGTACACACTGTGCAAAAGAAAAGTTGAGAATTAATGCCGTAAGATCTATTTCAAGAAGCTAGAAAAAGAACCAACAATTGAACCTAAAGAAACTAAAAGGAAGAAAACAATCAAGATAAGAACAGAGCATGAGAGACAATAAAAACAAAGCAGAAATAAAATCGAAAATTAACAAAGCAAAAATTTGGTTCTTCAAAAAGATATAACATTGATGACTTCTAAGAAGAATGATTAAGAAAAAAAGAGAAAGAAAACACAAATTACCAACATTGAGGATGAAAAGTCCTCCAGAGTATTCAAGGAAGCTATTATACAATCTTATGACAATATATTTGAAAATTTGGATAAAATGGACAAATTCTTTGAAAAACATGACTTACCAGAACTGACATAAGAAGAAATAGAAAATCTTAATACTTACATATCTATTAAAGAAACTGAATCCACAATTAAAAACTACCCTACAAAGAAAATACTAGGCTAGATGACTTCATTTGTGTTCAAATGTTTAAAAACCAAATAACACCAGTGTTAAAACAAACCCTCTTCCAGGGAATAAGAAAAGATGGAACACTTCTCAACTTGTGTTACAAGCTAGCATAAATTTGAATCCAAAACCTGACAAAGATATTGCCAGAAGGAAAATTTCAGACCAATAATTCTCATGAACATAGCTGCAAAACTACTAAAAATGATTAGCA